TTATTATTGGTCCAAAAATGTCCTGATTGTGTAACACTATTGTTGTCATTGTTATTTCAAAATATACTACACCTCTCGTATCTTGATTTTCATAGCAAAGAATCCATATCATTTTTTTACATTCTTCTACTTTTATACAAATAAATTAAAGATGCCTTCTTAAACTATTTTTAGAAAATTTGAGTTTCAAGATATTTGAGATAAAACTATTTGTTTATAATAAATATCTTTACCTAAACTTCTAATAGATTTTTCTAAACTCAATTAAGTTTCATCAAGTTTTAGATTTAAAAAAAATCATTTTAAAGGTTTCAAAATAGTTTCTTAATTTTTAAGCTACATGTTAAAATAGGTTTTGAACAGCATTATTAATATAAAATAAACAATTAGTTACAAAAATATAACACTTTTATTTAGTTTATAGACAAAATGTAATATTACCAATTGATAATCCTAATAATCCTAATAATATTTATATTAATCAAAATTTTCTTCTGCATATTAAAGTCAATTATTTGATTAACAAATTACCTTTAATATGATAAGATGCAAAAATACAAATACAATTGCATTATTTTCTTATAATACTAATGACTGAAAATTTGTATAATGTAAGTTTAACAAAGGATTTAGTTTTAGGATTTTTATAGAATGAGAATTTATGGAAAGCTCTAAAAGTTTATATAACTATAATACACTTAAAGACAAAATGTAATTATGAGTTAAGTAATTATAGTTTTATTATATAAAAGAATTTATTACAAGTGTATTTGTTTTTAATACAAGTATATTTAGTAATTATCTTATTATTAATAAATTTAATATAAATTCTCTCTAAAGATTTATTATTATTAATAAAGTTTTAAAGCTATCTTATTTATAAGAAATTTGATAATATAAAAACAATAAATATAAAAATAAATAAGAAAATAAATATTAGCATATCTACTATTTCTCATATATATAGTATATATGATATATTTAATATATCTGACAGATTTGGTATATTTCATATATCTGCTAAAATCAGCAGATTTTGCAAATTGAATAGCAAAGTAAAAATTATGTGATCTATTATATATAATCTATTATATCAGGTAACCTTTAATTACTTATTACAATATCTCTCCTTAAAAATGAACTCTGGTAAATTAATTCATTAAAATCATCAAGTTTTAATAGTTTTAATCTTTTAAATAATATCATGACATTATATGAAATAATTTATTAAATTGACTGATAATCATAATAATTTATTGATCATCAATAAATAAATAAATATTTTGTGACATAATTATATTGATCTATTCTTTAATCATAATATACTAAATCTATCCTATATTAGAAAATTTTATTTTAATTTGATATTTAAGTAATTTACTGTAAGGAAAATATTTTGATATTAAATAGAAATCTAAAATTAACTTTTACCTATACTTTGAATATGCAAATACTAAATTGTGCTTAGATATTATATTTGTGATAATTCCAAAATTATTATATCATTCTTATATAACAGATTAACTTTCTTCCATTTTAATCATTATTAATCTGGAGTGTAGTAAAGGAGCCGTCATTTCTAATATTTCGCACTAAATAATAAAAACTATAATTAAGTTGCAATTATTTTTTAAAGCAATCTTTACATAATAAATAATAGATATACTACTAAAAGTTTTAAATTCTATAATCTATTTTAAAATGTTTTAAAGGTTAGAAAAAATTTGTTAAAATTTAAAATTTATGTATGATTATTTGCTTACTTTTTTGAAGTTTCGTTGACAATCTTCCAGAATGACGTTCATTATCAAATTTATTAATTAATGAAGAGTCATGTTCCTGTTTTTGCTTTTTTGGTAAAATTTTTTGCAAATTTTCATCACTATCGTCATTTTGGTGTTTATTCTTTTTTTGTTGAAGTCGCTTCTTAAGTGGAATTTCTTGTAATTTTTCATCTTTATATTTTTTTTTTGAAGTTACTGTTCTTTTCGTGTAAGTCTTCATTACTATAATCTTTATATTTATTCAATTTTCATTGCCAATGCTGCTGTCTTTTAGGTAAAATTTCTTGTAAATTTTCATTACTATGAACATCTTTGTATTTCTTTTTGTAGCTGATACTGTTGCTTATTAAGTGGCGTTTCTTGTAAATCTTCATGATTATATTCTTCTTTAGATTTATTTATTTTTTGTTGCTGAAGCTGCTTTTTGGATAGAATTTCTTGTAAATCCTCATTGCTATTATTTTCATTCATTTTTTGTATTTTCACTGCATATTTGGTTTTTCTTATTTTTTTTTAACATATGATAACAAATTATCTTGTATTAATGTGGAGGAATTGTTAAAAGGTTTATCCTTTGCTAAATCATATGATATATTTGAATTCAATATCTATAGGTAGGGTTCTACAATTCAATTTGATATTTGATTTGAAAATCAAATCAAATACAAATTCAAATTTATATTTGGTTTGATTCAATCAAATTCAAATTAAAGAATGTTTTATTTGATTAAATCCAAATCAATGTTTGATTTGATTCGATTGAATCCAAATAAAATTTTCAAAATTTGATTTGATTCTAATCAATAGTAAATCCATTCCCAAAGCTTCAGAAGTGGCTCTTACTAAGAAAACCATAGTAAAAAGCTCCTTCACAGCTTTAGAGACATTATTTTACTAAGAAAACATAGTAAAAAATGCCTCTACAGCTTCGGAGACGCTATTTACTAAGAAAATATAATAAAAAATGCCTTCATAGTTTCAGAGATGTTTTTTACTAAAAAACCTAGTAAAAATGCATCTGCATCTTTGGAAATGTTTTTTTACTAATAAAATTGTTATGAAGCTGAGATGGCAATTATTACTAAGTTTTCTTAGTAAAACTGAAGTTGCAATAGTAGTTATTACTAAATTTTCTTAGTAAAACCAAAGTCACGATTGTGGTTATTACTAAGTTTTCTTAATAAATCAAAGCCGCGATAGCAGTTATTACTAAGTTTTCTTTTTTTTAAGATGCTGCGACTTCGAAAGACCACCATCACACTTACGCCTAGCTTATACTGAAGTATTTACCAGACACCAATTATTTGGCAACGTGCAGGCCAATCCATCTCAGGTATTTTCCTATAATTTCAAGTTATTCACCATGTCGAACGCACCCCCCTCGATGTTCCCATCTAAGCATGACATCCTAACCGGTCAACTTAAACCGCTTGTTGGATCTGTATTAGATACTTAGCATCAAAGGTACTGTCAAATTTGGATAAAGGGATCATATCAGTCATAGTAAACGTCATCACTATTTCTACCAACGGTCTAGTGAACTATAGCCAAGCTCTAATTACTTGGTTTGGCTTTATTACTACTATATAGAGAGCCGCAAAGTTCATGAGATAGTACTACAAGATTTCCCCAAACGGTGATTTCCAGTTGTGCATATAGACCACATCAACCAGGTGACTTTGATACCCATAATGTCAAACAACTCAGAAATCGAACCTGACCCCTAACCCTTCTAGCCATATTTTGATATTATTAAATTTTTGTTTGGAGAAGTTTAAGAGAAGACAGAGAAGACAGTGAAAGATTTTTTTGAACAAATTTATTGAATCATATCATGTATATTTATATATTCTC